GATATCAGTGCTGTATGTCCTTGTTGTCAGTGGCCTCAGGCAGCTGAAGTCCAGTAAAATTTGTAATCACTATCTAAATTGTTTTGGCTTAGGCCAAGAGGATTAGAGCTAATGTTAGTAACACCCTTGGATCTGGTTGTGACTACATGTATACTTTGGGTCTGATTGTGCATTTAGAGAAAACAATCATCTCTGTAAGAGAACATAGGCTGGATGTACATGGGGGTGATTCAGGAATTGTCAGCAGGAGCAGAATACACAAAAACTGCTCAAAACGTTTCTAACTCTGAAAACATTTCAAATGCAAAAACACCACTACAGCACCAGGATGCTGATCTCTATTAGAATAAGCTCAGACAACTTCTCAGAAGCTGAGAGAAGGAGGCACTGTCTGCTGCAGACACGCACACAAACAGACACATGGATCACTAGGCCATGGCCAGAGTTAGTTGGGACCATGTAGTGCATGTTTAATACTTGACAGAAGTATGGCTTCTCTGAAGGACCACAGGAGGACTGCAGAGGCACATGGTCTTAGTAAGAAAACTGAGGGTTAGGCAGATTGTGCTCTGATGCTGTTATAAACCTGAACCTTTCAGCCTGGGAACAGTTCTAATTTTGCAATATCTTTCTTTTATTGCATGTATCAGGTTACATACAAGCTATGAACATTCCTTCTCCTTTTTTTCCTCCTTCGTTGGTTGGTTGGTTGGTTGGTTGGTTGGTTGGTTGGTTTTACAACTGAATTCAACCCTGTGCAGTAGCAATATCTTGTCAGGACACTTCTTTCATATAAATCATAGGAAAATGAGAGACATTACTCATTGATATGGACAATTGATAGATAATTACTAGATGAGTGCTTATGCAAAACTCAGTCTTGAAACTCAGTCATGTTTTCTTTTGTACATCACACTCAACCAGCTTGGATTTCTTCAGAGCCCAAGTAATACCAGAAAAAACAAAACAGCCATTTACACCACAAAAGCAGCATTCTTACCTGCAAATTTACATGTTGTTTTTCATCAGCTCTAAGCTAAAATGCAGCTCAACTTGAAACTTAATTAGACTCAGTTGGAGAGGTGGTAGCTTGCAACAGGTTTTTATTCTTATGGGGTTCTGAAGGCACTTCCAGCAAGTAATAGGACAGTGGACATTTGGAAAACATCCATAAATCTGGGAAAATTCCACTTAAGTTTCAACATAAGCTGGAAACTCATACCAGGCTTCCTTAAACTCTTCGGCCATCTAAAGCAGCTGCATATTAAAACTGGAGCTGGACCGATCATTCAAAATTAATTTAGCCAGCACATTAATGAGCTACAGTTTCTTTTGCTGCTTGTGTGCAATATGCTTGATTTTCCTTCCTTTACCACTTCTACCAACAATCCTAGCCCATAGCTCTTCACTAAAGCTTTTAAGATCAGAAATTTGAGCAGTGCAGATCCTATTGCACAGTTGTGATCAGAGCCCGAGCCTTGAATCCTGATACACTACAGACCTCGGTTTGCTTAGGGCAGTATGGTGGGTTGACCTCGTCTGGCAGCTAAGCCCCCACCCAGACACTCCCTCACTCCCTGCCAAATGGGATAGAAGAAAGAATCAGAAGGGCAAAAATGAGAAAAACTTGTGGGTAAAGATAAAGACAGTCTAATAAGTGAAGGAAAATAAAAGAAAACAAAAACAAAAAAGTGATGCAGTCACTCACCACTTGCAGACTGATGCTCTGTCAGGTCTCTAAGCAACACCTCCCAAAGCAAAACTCCCCCCAGTTTTATTGCTGAGTGTGACATTATTTGGTATGATATGTGTCTTTGGTCAGTTTGGGTCAGCTGACCCAGCTGTGTTGCCTCCAAACCCTCTTCCCCAACCCTAGCCTACTTGCTACCTAGCAGGGTGAGAGATGAAGGCCTTGACACTGCGCAGGCACAGCAATAACTAAAACAGGTGTGTTGTCAAACTAAAACATTGTGGTGTGTTATCAACACTGTTTTGGTCATCAGTCTAAAACACAAGACATTACAGGCTGTTATGAAGAAAATTAACTCCGTCTGAATCAGACCCTCTTCAGGCAGATAAAATGGGTTCATGGAGCTAATAGCTCCAGAGACTGCCAGTCCAGTACTGCTGGAATTGCATGCAACAAAAACTAATCCTTGGCTTTCTCTCTGTTCAAAACATTCAGTCTTCACTAAAAGTTTGGGAAGCTGTGGCAGGGAAATGAAGTAAGCTATCCCAAACCCCTCCTAGAAGCAGAAGAAGGGATTAGCACTCAGGGCTGCTGCTTGTCTTGAACCACCAGTCTCCATCTATCTATTTTCCTGTTGCATTGCTGAATAATCAAAACCTTTGAATTCAGTTTCCATCTCTTTACTATTAAATTACTACCTTGCCATGTTGTAACCTGAGGTTCCAAGCACTGATGATTTTTGTTGTTATCTTATGGTACTCACTGGTACAGAGAGAAGGTGAACACAAAATACCTGGAAATCACATAAGCAGCAACATAAGGACTGCAAGACTTCTCCAGCCCAACTAAAACCAGATAGATTTTTTTCTCAGTGGAACACGGATCTCCTTCATGAGGGAAGGGCTAGTGCTTGTTTGAGTTTTTGTTTGGGGTCTTTTTGATGTGGTTTTTTTTTAATAGCCTTAGTTGGCTCTTTAAAAGCCAGTAGTAGTTCTAGCCCCAAGTTTCCTGTTCTGAATCTAATTTTCCCAAGGCACAAGAAATGACTTACCTGTAGATCATAAAGGCTGTCAAAAAGCTCAACAGCCAGGATTAGAATCATATTTTCTACTTTATCTTATTTTCTTCCAAGGCAGCGCAAAATGTTACCAAAAAGCATTACTACCAAATGACATTAGGGCTTAAGAAGTATTGGCATGGGAGCCCATCTAGATACCTATCCGTCACATTTATCTGTTCACAGCATGATAATAAAGGCCTACACAAGGAACAAATACAAAGCAAAAACCTGTCTTCAGTCTATTTTAATAAGTGAAATAAACCTAAAGGTATGCATTGGATTTCAGCAGCAGTTAACCTTTCCCCTGACATGATGCAAGGTCTCTGCAGGGATATTAAGCAGATTTGCTAAATGCCATAGGGGGGCTGACTCTGGAGACTGCCAGAGCATTGCCAGCTTATATAAACCTTCCCAGGAGTTAGGCTGATAGTCTCAGGCTTCTCCGAAAACATTGCTGATCCACAGGGATAATCTCATTTCTTGGACCATGAAATAAGTTGTAGCCTAAGGGTTACAGCTGATATATGTGTGAGACACAATCACCAGCTTGCCAAGTGGCTGCTTTACCCATGTCTGTTAGGTGGCTTTTGGGCTCAGCTGAACTTAGTTACTACTCTCTAGCAGGGAACACCATTCCTGATGTCGCCCTCCCCACTGCCTGCCTTCCATTGCCCCCAAACATGTTCACAGTGATCACCTTAGTGCATGTTTTGGAATAGGAGGGATTTGGTACAGCATTGGTGTTTCGCAAAAGGCAAGAGAGCTGAAAAGCTGGTCAAACAATTCCTTCCTAGAATACATTCCTGCAGGTCCCATGGGTCCCTGTGCTCAAGCACACACACACAAGTCGTGAGGTAGCTGTTTTTGCTAAGGCAAAGAGCATTACCTGTTTAGAGAGCTTTGGCTGTCAGCAGAAGGGGTATTTTCAGCTTTGTTGGAAAACAGTAGAGCTAGATAGGTCTGAGGTCCTACTCAGTGTACCTGGCAGGTGCTGAACTTCAAAACTAACGCCAAGATTTTCAGAATCGAAGTGCCAGCAGCTGGGCAGTCCCAGGCTGTAGGCACAGTACAGGTGTGAACCTGTTAAGCTTCAAGCTCCTGGGAGCTGCTTTCCCTTGTAAGCACTAGACTGGGAATTACTACCACTTGCCTGACACCACTATTGTGAGAAGTGTGATATTTCCCTGTTTAATTAAATAGAAGAAGCCCAAAGTCACTGCCCTTCTTTTTGAAATGGGTCCATTCCATTTTAAGTGCTTCCCTTTGTCTCCTTTGCAAAGTGGTGGCATGGAAACAATGCCACCTCCCACCATGAAATGACAGCTTGCTCCAGCCCTTTCATAACAGAGGCCCTTGAGGCGTGCACCAAGGGAGCTTGATGAGGTTAGTAATCACTGCAGCACATGAAAAGCATGTTGCACTGCGACCTTTTGTACATAAAGAGCTATACTGGTTCTGCTTCAAAGGCAGGGAGATTTACACATATGGCTTTCTCCCAGCACTGAGGGAGGAGAAACTGAGGCAGTAAAATCCTGAAAGCCAGCAATTTATTCAAGAAGGGATGCTGAGAGTGCTTGAAGGCTTAAAGCTTATGGTATTTTACCTCCAGTTTGCAGCACAGGAAAAAAAGGATAGGATTTTCATTAAATCCTAGCATTTTTAGAGACACAAACTATATTTTTCTTTTTCAAGTCGCATTGACAGTCCTGCAAAAGTTCTCTGAGAGTTTTTACTTCACAAGAGCTGCATGCACAGCTCTTGGAGATCCAGTGCCTGTTATCTGCTGCTGTAGTAGCAGCTGCCCTGAAAGACAGGCTAGAAACAACCTTCCAGTCTTCTATGCCTAAGACCCTTTCTGAGGTCATCTGTCCTATTGTCCTTTGGCAGTCACACCTCACTCCCACATACTGATAGCACCTGCCATGACCTCTGGTTGATGACTTATCTCCAAAAGCTGAAGAAATAATTTCTGCCAGGTCTGCCTATGTTAAATATCTTTGAGAGAGAGGTACGTCGTGACACAGACTTCCCTGCTCACAGTGTGACTGGGGAATCCCAAACCTTTTCTTCAGTACTTCATATCTTGGACTACAAGATACCTGGGAAGCAAAACCAGGTAATATCCCTTTTCCTTTCTCAGAGCAGTCTCTAATTTTAATTACCTTCACCATTCCTTTAGTAGCAGCACTTCATGGCAGTCCCCTCTTCTGTAGTTTGGAAATTGAGAAACAGAAATATGACACAATTACCTTCAATTACCAAAAATATTACTTTTATGGAATAAAAGTGAAAATTTGATTTAGTCCAGATCTGAAGCAGTGAGAGACACATAGAGAGATTATAGGGGAGTTTTCAGTGACCCATGGCCTCCAGAGAGAAGAAATAATCATGTTACTGCGTTTCCTCCCAGCTTCACAGCGGTTTATATCCTTTAATCTCACACACTGAATCCTCTGTTTGCTTGGGCTTTGGAGATTCAACAAGCCCCATGTGCAGTTAGCACAAAGCAGGATTCCCCCACTACCTGCTGTTTTGATCCTGGCCACAGACATAAATGACTGCTCTGCCTCTGTATACATAACATGTACGTGGATTAGGTACAAATTCAAACGTGCAACACGGCTCCACCCAATGCTGTCTGCAGAGACAAGAACATCCACAGCAGTAAAAGGTGCAAAGATAATTCAGTGTTTTCCACTTGATCCCTGGAGATGTTTCTTAGCATCCCTTGGCACATCCCACCTTGTGCACCCACCTCAACCCTCAAAAGCTATTGAGATGCTTGCTTTGCTCAGTTCAAGTTTCCTTTTGGTCTTCAAGGCTCTTCTACCTGCGTTTTCAGGTGGATAACCAATACTGTGCACACTGAAGTTCTATACAGGCCATAGCAGGAGCCCCAGCATCCCTCTAAAACATTTCAAGCTTGTTTTTTGCCATCTCTTCTCTTTGAATGTATGACTGCCAACAGGCCAATACCAGCTGCGTGCCTTAGAGTCAAAATGCGTTGTTCAATTTGGAGCACTGTGTCCCATTTTTATCTGAACGATTCTTCTTCCTTTCCACAGCACACAAGGAACCCCAATGGTTTTGCATTTGAGCTCCAGCTGGTGCATCTTGGCTGCGTGTAGCAACGTCTCAGTGCCCGTCCCTGCCGTGCACCTCCTCCAGCAGGTCAAGACATCACCATGTCCCAGCGCTGACTCATGGCTGTGCTCTCACAAGGGTTGATGACAAGCTCTTTAATACTTTCATTCGTGTCCCCAATCGTCTCAGTGTCCAAACAGAAGCGTGAGGCTATGTGTTCAATGTGTGACCCAACTTTACCCCATCGCTGAGGAGAGAGACACACGAGAGGAGAAACAGATGAACAAGCTTCCGCCCCATTATATTTTTACTATACTGTTCCAGCATCAAAAGGACAGTTGTCACTAAGCCTCTGTGGCCTGATGCTGGGAAGCACAAGGTCCCCAAACTCGCACCAAGCAGAGCACATGCTGAGCATTTTTCCCATCAGAAGCACACTCATTTGAGCTCGGCCTCTGCCTGGCTTCAGGAAGATAATATATTACTAACAGCTTTTTCCCCAGGTCACTGGTTCAAATGCCAGCTCAGTGATTAACTGCAGAGAAACGTTAGCATCTGCTGCCTGACTGGCAGCCCGTGTGAACTAAATTGCCAGTTTGGGTTTGACTTCTGCAGATAAGTATCCAGATCACCACCCTCACTAATAGACATCCTTATCAACACACTCATTTAAGAGGCAAAGGGCTGAACAGGCCAGAGCCTGTGCTCCTGAATAGACTGTGCTTCCCAGATGAAGTCAGAACACACAGGCCATTTACTGTGCAGTAATACTATGATGAAAGAAAGGGAATCTCAAAGAAAATGGGGGATCAGTGAAAGGGCTCACCTGCTTGTTGTCACCTTCTTTACAAGGTGACAGCAGCACCTGGGAACCAGGGAAGAGTGTGTACACAGACAAACACAGCTGCTGCTGGCGGACTTGGTGGTTGTATGTGTATGTCCATTCCTGCAGAGAGGAAGAAAAAAACTGAGGTGAGAGATTAGTATTGACTCTTGGTATTCTTCTGCCCAGAAAACAAACATATTGGCTTGGATCCTGCCCCTTCTGAAAGCAAGCACAAACATCATTGACTTCAAGAGGCACCAGGTCACAGTTTCAAGCCTCCCCAAAACTGCAGCTGTTATTGGGGGACTGCAGGTACCAAAGAAAATGTCTACAAAAGCAGTTGGAAGAAAATGGTTCATGAGACAAAAGATTCCATAGCTAGAACTGGGCTGTGGTTGACGGAAAAAAAAGGATGGGAAAAAAGCAAAAGAGAGGCAGAAATACTACTAA